CAAGACAGTTTTTGTAACCAAGTAATTATTTGTCCTCCATTGCCATTGCCTTGAGAGGAATGTGAATCCCATAACTCTTGATTGTGCTTATGCAAAACCTATACTTGGAACAAAAGGCAGTCATCAGAACAGAGCAAGGAAACACTGCATAATTCAAAATCAGCAAAGGAGAACATCCAGGATGCGTTCTGCCTCCCTCCCTTTTCAGTCTATAGGTGGAACAGATCATTCAGGAGTATCGCTTTATGAGGAAGAAAGTGGCATTAGGATTGGAGGAAGACTGATCAATAACCTGCACGTGACACAACCTTGCTTTCTGAATCTGAGGAGGACCTGAGACATTTGCTGCAGAAGGTCAAGGACTGTAATCTTCAATATGGATTGAAGCTCAACATCAAAAAAACAAAGATTGTCACCACTGGCACAATTGTCAGTATCATGACAGATGGAGAAGAGATTGAGATTTTTAACAGCTTCAGCTTGCTGGGCTCCACAATCAACACTCTTGGTACTAGCAGCCAGGAAATCAAAGGACAAATTACATTAGGAAAATCTGCTGTGGGGGACCTCTTCAAAGTACTGAAGAACAACGAAATCAGTCTAGTACTGAAGAGCAGCAAAGTCAGTCTAGAGACTAAGGTGTGCCTGATCCAAGCCATGGTCTTGGCAATTACTTTGTTATGCATCAGAGGTCTAGACAATGACTAAGGATTACAGAAGAAGAATGGATGCCTTTGAGTTGTATTGTTGGAGAAGAGTATTTAACATACCATTAACTGCTAAGAGAACAAACAGGTCTGTCCTGTAGAGGGTGAAACCAGGCTGCTCCTTGGAGACAAGGAATTTGAAGGTCCATGTCACATACATTGGGCATATTGCCAGGAGGGACCAGTCCTTGGAGAAGGACATAATACGTAGATGGGTAGAGGGACAATGCAAGAGAGAAAGACCCCGGATGAGATGGATTGGCTCAGTGACTGGGGTAATGGGGTGGGTATATTGGAGACAATGAAATTGGTTCAAGTTAGAGCAGGATGTGCAAAGAGCTGTTGTGCATAATATGGTCACTGTGAGTCACAAGTGACTTGAAGGCACATAACAACAACAACAAACACTTGTCTGTAGTGGATATTTAACTTCCTATTAGAGACCTTGCAATGTCAGAAGATGGTTAATGATCTCAGCTCCTAACCTAAAGGTTGGAGCTTACACTCCACCTCCAGCTGCCTCGGAAGAAAGCCCTAATGATCTAACTTGGCAAAACCCCGTCATTGGAAACCCTCTAGAGTCCAGTTCTATGCTGTCACACGTGGGCTCAGCACTAATCAGAATCAGCTACAGCACAAGTTAGGTTTGGTTTTTGCATTCCTGTATTGTTGTTATGTATCATCAGAGTCAGGACTAACCCCCGTAACTGGTGGGTTTTCAGAGGCAGTTCATTGCACAGAAGGAGATTACCTACCTTTCTTCTGAGGAGGAGCTGGTGGATTTGTACTTCGTGCCTTTGGATTGTCGGTGAAATTCCTTGCCACTAGAGCTGATTTATATTACTTCAAGACATTAATAGTTGGGTTGTTTTAGATCTGCTGAATAGTCTTGAACACAGCTCTTTACATGTTGTTGATTGCCTTTGAGTCGAGCACGACTCAAGCAAACCTATGAACAAAAGGCCTGAAGCCCCTCTCCAACTATCGACATTTATCAAAGTCCACAGAGTTTCCGGAGGCAAGTTATTTAGGAAGAGGATGCCCCTCCTGCTTTTCTGATACAGGTTCAATCATTTAATACTGATGATTTTCAAATTAAATTAGGTAAAGGTTGAGTGTTAGAAGATGATTTTAACCTGCCATCTACTCATCGTCTAAACCATCCATGACTTGCGTATTTCCCTCATTAGGTACCCAGGTGACCCAAGGTGATTATTATCTTGAATGGTTGATAATAAAATCTGGAGGGGCAACTACTTACTTATAAAATGGCAAGAAGCTATGTATTCTAAAGACATAACTTTGCTTCAAAAGAAATGTAAATTATCTTTAATTATGAGATAAATCACCTTTTTCATTTGTTAAACTATTATTTGTCCATCTATTTGGTGATTGGCACAAATAAAAATAATCAATGGAAGGAAAGATTTTAGTTAACAATAACTCTGAAGAGATTTGATCACTCCAGAAATTAATATGAAAACTCCCTGTGAAACAAGCAGGTCTCTCTTCTGTTTTGAGTTTGGAGGTTTACTTTCGTTGGGTAAATGCTTCCTTTGTAAATGTGAACTTAACTTGGCCTTCTATTTTTACTGGCTTGTATTTTAGGGGTTCTTCTTCAAGCCGTTACCTAGAGAAAATCAGCAGAGGCCTCCAAAGACGTACATTCACTGCATGAAAGTATTAGAATAACTACTGATGTCTCTGTTACTTAGGATTCCCAGACTTGGCCCAAGAGTTCTGTTTGTTGTCTCCTGAGATCGGCTGTGTTCAGGGAGCTCTGATGGCTTAGTGGAAAGTACCTGTGCTGCGAACCCAAAGACACACAGTTGAAACCCACCAGCTGCTTTGCAGGAGAAAGATGGGTAGTCTCCTCCTATGTGATTTATTGCCTCTGAAAACCTGCTCGTGGGTCAGCTGTGAGTTGATTGCAACTCAAGGCAATAACAGCAATAGTGTGTCTAAGTGGTGACAACTTTGAAGGATCCATTTATGTACAAAATATTGTGACTAAATTCACTTTTAAAAGTAATTAATTAATTAGAATAATTATTTTAGAAGTTGGTCAGAGACTAAGGGAAAACTGCTTCTACTCTCTGGGGAAGGATGTAAAATATTTTATGATGCTGAAGCGTGGTGATGTGAGCACCACTCGTGACAGAGACAGCCACGTGGTCCAGGTCACTGCCCTTTAGGAAAACTTGGGATCCACTGCAGCCTGTCACATGGGAGGTGGATTCTATTATTCTTTCCTTCCAACTCTGAAACAAGAGTGTGGTTTCTGCTGAACTGACGCTACCGAGTGAAGAGTGTCTGACACCCGAGAGGATGTGGCAGAGGGGAAGCAGTCTCCTCCCTCGAACCCAGAGCGTGAGAGCAATGAGGATCCCGAGAAAAGACAGCTGAGCCCACAGTTGTCACACTGCAAGCTGGCTTATTAATCAGTTCAAATTCTGGCATGCAAGCTGACCATGGGGACGGATGGCACTGCAATGTAGGCAATTAAAGGAAACATCCCCCCCTTTTTTATAGTCAGAGGCAGTTGGGTGACATTGATGTTACAATTTTTCCCCCTCAGTACCTGCCTTTCCAGTTTAGCAGAGAAAAAGGAACATGACGGAGCAGGTGATGTGACCAGGGCTTAGATCTCGGAATGTCATCTATTAGCTTTGTGACTTTGGACTCTTAAAATCGCTGACCTTTAGTTTTGGCTGAAAATGAGAGTTTCCAGACTGATGAAAGGTTTTAAAATAATTTTCACAGATTCCATAAACATTCAATTTCAATTTGGACATTAAAATATGTAGGCTGAGCTTTAGAAAATTGCGATGATTTTTAAAACTCTAATAGGTTACATATTAGTACTATGAAGATCAATTAGACATTGCAGTCTAACAACTTATTTTGTGTTGGTGTAGACCACAGGATGTAGTTTTCACTCTGTTTATTTTATTCAATTATCAATTATGTTCAAGGGAAGGCAATATAGAATATCCTACCTAAGTTGGCTTAAGTGAATAAATAAAAGACTCAGACCTCATCACAAAAAACTTTTTATTTAGTGAGTTAGTACTGTGTAAGGATTTATGTTGGTACAGTGGTTCAAAGAACTAATGTATTGACACAAAGGTCAGGTGTTTGAGTCCACCAGACATCACCAGAAGGAACATGCTGCAGTTTGCAATCACAAAGAACCGACTGGACAAACTTATGGGCAACTCTCCTCTGTCCAGTAGGGTTTCTGTGAGTTGGACTTGACTCTGAGGAAATCATGTTTGGTTTAGGTTACTTTACCGAACTTAGAATTATAGCTCTGACTTGATGACAACAGTAACTGTAGACTGCTTAAGTTCCACAGAATAACCTGGAGAACGAACATAAACCATCTCCTTCGCATGTTTCCACAAGACTATTCCACTAACTGATGCAAATTATTCTGACTTAAGTGCTTCGTGTGTAACATGAAGCATTTTTCTTTTTCAGTGTGAGTGAAAAGTCTTTGCTATTTTCTTCGGTTTGGTCTCAATGTCTAGTTACTAACCCCTGGTTTTGGTTGGTTATGGATTCATTGTGTAACACTGCACTCAGCCTATGCCTCTCCTTCAGCCTGGCCTTTTCTCTCATCTCCTACTCCCCAGTTAGGGTCCCAATCATGACTTCTAGCTAATCTCTTCCTCTCCACACCTGGGTTTCACGTGCACTCCACCATTGTTACCAAACACAATATTCACATATTGACTCTATTTAAAGAGCATCTCAACAACTTTGACAGATCCACAGAGTCACCCTTGATATGACTCACATTGTCTACTCTCCATTTTTTCCTCAACACACAAATCCCTGGACAAACTGTAAACATGAGATCTGGGCATCTTTACTCATCAGGGTCACTTTGATATTTTAAGACTCCCCCAAATTCAAACCTTGGTGGTAAAGCTCATTTGAAAACTAGGTATATTGTTCAACATTTGTACCAACTCTAGTGGTTATGAGCTACTTAAAATACTCCTCAAATTGCTCTTTGTCATGTTTGCTATGGCAGTGAGGGTGGATGAAGAACAGAGATGTATGGCATGACTGCAATCAATCAATCAAATGACTTTTCTGGTTCCATTGTCTGAAGTCTGTACCTCAATGCATATTGTTTATACAATAACTTATCTTAATTAGGCATATGTAAAATATAATCTATTCCTTCAACAGTTGGTCATTTTTTTGTTTCGAATCCACTCTCATCTCAAAGTAGCTATCTGATTTCCTTTTATTTTAAAGAATAAAACAAGGATGCCAAACTTCTCCAACAATCTGGAATTTTATTCCATCCATATACATGCATAGTAACAACATTTGTTGAGAAATTATTTCTATCAGAAGTAGAACATTATCTTTGTGATCACCAGGTGCAGTATTGCTACTCTTATATTTAAATAGATCTTATATATGAATTAAATTCATACTTGCAGCATTGAGTTTAGGGTTTCAATTTTAGACTGTGCCTTTCAAAAGATAAAACTGATTCCTACTACCTCATTACTTACAATACTGCTTCCAGTAATTTTGTTCATTCTTTATAAAGTATTGCATTTAACAGCAAAGGTTTAAAAATTGAGAGAGCTGCATCAGCGAAAGAAAATACAAGTACTATACAAGAAAAAAATCGCCATCTTCATTTAACATACATGTTTAAGTTTAAGAAAATGGACAGAACGTACTGCTACATACAAATGCAAAGCCTAGTCACTAAGAAACTGTATCTGCTAAAATATAAAGTGCAAACCGAGCCTGATTATCCAAGAATTTAAATCTTAAGGCGAACTTATAGCATGTGTACTTAGAACATCTTTGCAAGTTATATTTTAGCATATACGTATATCTGCAACAGCATATAAGAAAAAAATCAAGATACACAAGTGCTTTTGAAGCTATTTCTAAAATGCTCTTCTGTATTTGTGACTATTTCCTTTAAAAGCTACTATACATTGCAAACCATATGTGCTACACAATAACTATACAATAACATTACAAATGACTTTAATATAAAGTTTTAAATAAAAAATAACATAACCACAGCTATGAATACTGCTGGTAAAATAAATTAATTTTTTTAAATGGCACCCATAATACACTTTACTAATGAACTGTAATGAAATTACACCTTAAGTCTTCAACTCAGCCAGAATGAATTCTCTCCTGATTGCCTAGTTGCAAATTCCAACAGCTTTTTGCCTTTTGTTTGTTTTTTAACTTCTTGTTTCTGGACCGGGTAGAACCACATACTAAACACTGGTACCAACGGTGAGGGAAGTTTCTCGGCTTGGCTATTTCATTTGACGTGCTCTGCAGCATGTGACGAGCAATAAAACTTCTTGTGAGTTATAAAGTTTGAAAGGTTGTTGAACTGGATATCACACAGCCGGCAGTATTTCCCACTGGTTGGCGTCTGGGTGGTACCATTCACGCCTTTCGCTATACTAGACAACTGTTCATCGGCAGAGGGGACGCCTGGGGAGACATTCTCGTTTGCAGCTAATGGGTTGTCAGGCACCCTGGTCGGAGACTTGTGCCCGTCTTCATGCTGTGGGTTCTGGGCAATGTTCTCTTGCTGCGGGTTGGGCGGAGGCCTCTCGTCTTGTTTCAGTCCCCCATTCACGATGACCATCCCTCTGTTTTTGGGCAACAGCGGCAGAGACTCTTTCTTCTGCAGCGCACACCCATTGGAGGAAGCCTGGCCTTTCGGAGATTCATTTTCAGCATTTGTGCTTGGCTCTGTGTCAGTGTTCTGAATGACCAGAGAACCAGAAATATAATCGCTTGGCTTTATTCCATAATACGGCGAAAGCTGATCAGCCCCCTTTGCTTTCTTTATTGCTCCAGGATAAAGGCATTGGGGAAGAAACAAATGTTTGTTTTCTTCTTTCGTGGCAATCAGCTGCGCGGCTTCACTGAAGACCTTGAGGCCTTGCAGCGTCGCCAGGTGGGAGGAGAAGAGGTTGCCATTGGGGGAAGGCTGCTTCAGATTGCCGTTTTTCTCACATTTGATGATGCCCCGCTCATAGCTGCTGTCAGGGCTGCTTCGTTCGCTTTCCGGATTGGGGAACACCTTGCCGTCGAGCGGGCCCAGGTCACTGCGCTGATGCGCGGTGACCGGGCAGAAATTCTGCTTGTGGGCCAGGTAGTTCTCCACCTTGTTGAAGCTGATCTTGCACACGGTGCACTCGTGGTAGTCCAGCAGCCTTTTGGGCGACGCGGTCGTGCGCTCGGCCTGGGAGAGACACTTTTTGCTGAGATCGATGGGTGCGTCCATCTCCAGGCACGAAGCGCTGGCATGAGTGGTCTCGCATTTGGAAAGCGGCCCGCACTTGTTGAGAGGCAGGGACGCGTCCAAGTGCTTGGAGACGAGGCCGGGGAAGATGTCACACCGAGGGTGGTAGCACTCGGCCAGCGCTTCGGCGGGCTCCTGGGTGGAGGTGCATGGGTTGGCAAGGCTGGCGGCGTCGAGGAAGCGCTGCGGCCCCAGCGGAGGCCTGTGCTCCGGCTCCGGCAGGCACATCTCGTACATCTTCCTCCGCTTGCGCGTGCGCATGGTGCGCTGCAGCGCAGGCACTTTGTTGGCGGCCGAGCGCTTCAGGGGCGGGTCGTGGCGCGTGGCACAGTAGTACTGCTTGTGGACCATGTACGTCTCGTGGCGGCTGAAGGTGATGTTGCAAGCTTCGCAGGTCGTCTTATTGGGGTCACTCTCCCCATCCACTAAGGGGAGGCTGGGGTTCTTCACATCCACCGGTTTCCCATTCATTTTCTCGTCACCGTTGCTGGGGGTGGAGAGCTTCTTGGCTTGGGGCGCAAAGTCCTTGTCGTGGCCCTTGCCGTTTGGCCCGATTAAATCTAAAACGGTGGAAGAATTGATGCAGGGTGTCGGCAGCAGCGAGTTCTCGGGCTCGGTGGCGTGAGCAGCTGGGGTGAGGAGGTTGAGGGACGTCTGACCAGTGTTGGGACTCACGGCCTCAGGCATCTTTTCAGAAACACCGGGGAACTCCGGAGACTTAGCCATCTGCTGCCATCGGCTGCTGCAGTAGTGTTTTTTGTGCACTAGATAATTATCCAAATTATTGAACGTTATGTTACACTCAAAACAAGTCGCCCCCTTGGGCATCAAGGGGCTGTAAATTACAGGGGGGTAGCTACTACTTCCATGCCTCAGCCGTCGATGGACTAGTTCAGACATCTTGGCTAAGATCTCTGAAGCTTGGGGGACCATGGTGATATCCTGGGGGAAAGCGAACTGAGAGAGGAAAGGGCCCACGGGGAAGGAAGGCCCGAGGTTAGTCTGCACGGGAGAGGAGGCCAGTCTTGGGCTAGAGGGCTCAGACTTGATTTTTGTATAGGAAAAGCTTTGCTTATTTGCGCCTGGCTGGATCTCAGGTCTCTGGTTAGGGAAAAACAGCTGAGTCTTTTTCTCGCACTTGTCCAGCTCTGTGTCAGAGCTGGCGTCTTTCGTCTGCATGGACTTGTGGTTCTGGGGGAGTTCGCTTCTGGTTAGCAGGTCCACAGGGGGCTGAAGGCTGTCTTCAGTCCCCCCTGGGGAGTGTTCCACGTCACCGTCCCTGGGAAGTTTGCTGCCAGGGCCATGGAGCTCCTGGTGCTGCAGTAACTCCCTCTGAGTCTGGAAGCCGAAGTGGCAGTGGTTACAGCGGAAGGCGGTTTGAGTGAGATGGGAGAACAGATGCTGGTGAAAGTTGATCACGGAGTCAGCCGTGTAGCTACACACAGTGCACTTCAGACTCGCACCAGCGGGGAGGAATTCTTCCATTTTCACACCTGCAGAGACACACAAAAATGAGAGGTCTCAGAAACACACGAGCTGCTTTCTCTGCTGACATCCACCCTTGCTGATGACCCAGCAGGAATGAAAGGACATTTGTCAAAATCTCATTTGTGATACTGGTTTACTTCTGACATGCCTTGTCATGTGAGACAATACTCTTGTTGTGTGCTGTCCAGACAGAACTGACCTGGAGCTGACACTCCAGGGGGTTTTCAGAAGCTGTAAATGGCAGGAGAGGAGACCACAAAGCCTTCCCCACATCTGATAGTTTCCTAAACATGCTCACATTTAATATCTCTAGGAGATGGGTATCACTGTCCTCCGCTTACATTTTGGGAAACAAACAGAAAGGATCCAAGAGAATTAAAGATGATAGGAAGTTATGACACGATGAAATCACACACCTAAAAATCAGATTTGAGAATTTCTAATCCAATAATCTTCCTATTAATTGTACTCTGTGTTAGGGGAAAAGTGGACTCTCATTAGTATTACAGCTGAAGAGCTGTGGGCAAGTCAAATAATTTCAGTGTTTTTATTCAGAATAAATCGAAATAGAAAACAGTTAATAATATACTATGGACTGTTAGGGGAACAAACAGGTTCATCCTAGAGAAGGTGAAACCAGGCTGCTCCTTCGAGGCAAGGATTCTGAAGCTTCATCTGATATAGTTTGGGCATGTTGCAAGGAGGGTCCAGTCCCTGGAGAGGGAGATCTTGTTTGGGAAAGTGGAGGGACAGCACAGGAGAGGAAGAACCTTGACGAGATGTATTGATTCAGTGATTCGGGTAATGGGAGTAGGTATGTCAGAGACAGGTTGGCACAGGGTAGAACAGGGTTTAGAGCTCTTGTACATAAGGTTGCTATGAGTTGCAAGCAACTTGACGGTACGTAACAACAACAACAACAAAGTTTGCCTTTGGTATAAATCAAAGGTTGCATTACTTCTTTTGCCTGAATATAGCTTGTCTCTAGCCAGGGTTGATACTTAGCTCGTAGATATCAGTACACTTAATAATTGAGGATAAGCATTCTGCTGTCACTTCCTGTCTCCATATCCCTTCCGTGTCCCTATTTATTAGATATTTTGAATATCGCCATTGACTAGGCTGTGGAAGCATCACTATGCTCACCTCCAGTTCCCATATGTTGCTATGTGGTTAAGTCAGGTGGGGTTGATTCTCTTCTCTCTACTCTAGGTCAGAAGGAGAGCTGTCTTTTAGATTTATCAGCTGATTATCTGGCAGGGTTTCATATAGTGATGATAGGGGACTTTGACTTTTCTCTTAACTAATCCAACGCTTTTTGTGGTTCCACCCCCCCCCCCATTTGACTTAAAGGATTCTTCGTTTAAGAACTGCTGCTCTTTCTGCTTGATTTTACTTAGGATCTGGGACAGCCAACCTTTTTCTTTAACTCTGGCACTGACATGAAGGTAGGCCATTTGGAGGGATAAGGAAGAGTATCAGTGGATGTGAAATTGCCTGCTTTTAACTTAAAATTTCATAGATTCAAACAAAAACAAAATCTTTTGTTGGGCTAGGGTGTTGGATGATTGGATTTCATTTACAAAGACTTTTATTTTTAAGTCCAACATTTACTTAAGGTGGTTTTATTGTGCTTTTTTTTTAAAAAAAAAAAAAAAGATACCAGAGAAATTAGTCACCAGAAATGCTCTTCATTTTTTTGTTATTTTATGGCTATAGGACAACTCTGATTCCTCATCCTGATTGCCCTCATCCAATAATAGCTAACACTATTTAAACCCTCGGCCATTGAGTCAATTGTGACTCATGGTCACAATCCACTGGGCTTTTCAGCTACAGTTTTTAACTGGCGGAAGCTGCCCATCTTTCTCTGGTGCAGCAGCTGAAGGCTTCAAAATATAATTGAATATAGTTGATCAAGTTAAATTTTAAAAATCAAGAATTCAGTATGTTATGCTATGAGACTAATAATAGTTGGGTCTAAAACTCAGAAGCAAGTGGAACTATTTATAACTTCATTATTAAAAATGAAGTTGGGGGGAAAGCTAACTTTCCATCTGTTTTTTCCTAAATAATGTTAAAACGTAGTCCTAACAGTCGTTTTTGCAAAAAGAACAGATTAAAAACATTATAGTGAATACTTTTGAAACCTAGAATGTCTATAATTCTGTATTTAAAAGTTATATTCTCTCAAGTTTGATTTTAATTGGTTCTAACCAAATAAGAACTTTGCAGCTGAAATAGCAAATATTGATTTGAATATTGAGTTACATTAAATATTGAACAGGAAGTACTGATTTTTAGGTATCTGCTGTTTCTTCCTTGTGTAGAATACACTGTGATCAGGTTGCCAAGATCATTCAATTCTTAAATCAGTGAATACTGATGACAGTGACAAAAGGCCTTTTCCTCCCCAGAATATTATTTTTTTTCTCATCTGAAGACCAGTAAGATTTGGCTTACAGTCTGACCACTGTTGCTGTGCTAGTCACTTAAACGGAATATCCAAGTTGTGACAGACATAGGATAACATAGCTGGCTCAGGAAAATGTTTTCTAATTAAATATTAATATTGATCCATGTCTCTTCCTATACTATTTACTTCCTCTGAAAACCCACTGGAGGGTCAACGATGAGTCAGTTCCAACTTGAAAGTAAACAACAGCAACACCAACTACGCTAGGCAGCTCTGGGAGAGCGGTTCTAGGGGGTTGTGCTGATACCCCAAAGGCGGTGCCTCTCTTGACACTCTGAATCCACCAGCAGCTCTGTGGGAGACAGATGGGCAATGCTCTGGGAGATCAGCGAGGAGTCAGTTCTGACTTAACGGCAATGAAAGTGTATATGATGCATTGTTGCTGTGTACTGTTGAGTCAGATCTGATCCCACATGGGAGGAGACTGCCCATCTGTCTCCCACAGAGCGGCTGGTGGCCTTGAACCATGTGTCTTCAAGATTTTAGTGTAGCTTCTTGTCACTAGGCCACCAGAGCTCCCCAAATAGAAAAGAATTTAAATATAATAAAAGATGTATGTATTTACACATCTAGCTATCATTCATTCAGGGAGCTCTGGTGGCTTGATGGTAAGGAATTCTGCTGCCAAAGCAAAAGTATGTGGTTTGAATCCACTAGCTGCTTGGAGGGATGGAGAAGGGCATTCCACTGGAGGATCAGCCAGGAGTCAATCCTGACTGGACGGGAATGAGAAGACATATATATGTCTACCAGCAGGAGCGGCATCCACTTCCTAAACAATATGCCTCTAGAAACTCTATGAACTTTGAGAAACGACCATAGTTATAGGAAGGCTTCAGGTCTTTTGTTCAGAGGGTCGCTGTGAGTCATGCTCATCTTGACGGCAATCAACAAAAACAACATCTATACATACACACGTGACTGCAGGAATGCGCTCAGGTGTGTCAGAGAGGACGGCACAGGATTGGACAGAATTCGAGTCTCTTGTTCAAAGAGTTGCTATGAGTCCTACACACCTACACACACACACACACACACACACACACACACATTGTCTTAGGGAGAAACAAGGGCACACTCACCACTGTGTGAACTCAGGTGCATCTCCAGCGCACGCGCGTTGGAAAAGCTCTTGGTGCACTGTGGGAAGGGGCACAGGCTGGAGACCTGATGGCCACTGTCCTCGTTTTCTTCTGACACGGGCACAGCTTCCCGCTGCCTCCCGCTGCAATAGTACATTAAATGGGCCTGGAGATTGCGCTCGCTCCGGTACCAGATGCCGCAGGACTTGCACGGGAATATGTCCTCTGCAGGAGAAACACAAGGGCAGTTAGCTGTTTGCTTCCCATGTGGAGCCCGCCGTGGGCAAAGCATATTCTGTCCAATTGTCCTCAGCGTCTGCTCTTGGGTTCTGAATTGAGCAATCAGATGGTGCTGAGTGCAGCTGTGGGAGCCATTCTAGGTCACAGGATGAGGCTTTTAAAAAAGAGTCAACACAATTCAACTTCCTATAGAACTCTAGGAAGGAGTAGGAGCCCTCAGCATTAAAAGCACAAAAGGCAAGAGCGTCTAAATAGTACCTAACATTTAGAAAAGTATACATTTACAGGTAAGTAATGTAAATTGGTTTAGCCAGTTGGTTTAAAGCTAAGAATCTAATGGCCGAACAAAAGCTAGTTCTGAACTTAAACTTTGACATCATTTATTGGTTTAGTAAATTAACTAGGGAGTGCCTATGCTAGATCCTAAACTGAGTAGGGTGCATGGCAAGATGAAAAACTAAGAAACTTTTCTTAAGGAACTGATAGTCTCACTTGATGAACAAGTAGTGAGGTATTTTGATTAGCGTGAGATTCTCTGGCATCAAGAGAAGAAATAGTTACTAGCCCAGTGAGGCTACTGGTGGGAGAAGGAAGTCTCAAACAAGGACCAAGAGAGATAGGGAAGCAGCAGATGATATAACAGAGAGACACGGTGAGGTCAATACAAGGCAAAAAAGGAGGACAAACAGCTCAGAAGCTCCAAGAACTTATCTGCCAGCATCACAAGTGCTTGCTCATCACGGTGTCAGAGGCCTGGCTAACTTGCAAGGCAAGACTAGCACACCATTGTAAAACCAGCAGAACTGATTCCATCTTGGCTAGAACCATCTTGAATGGAAACCTAAAAGAGATAATGTGATTACCCCTGCAGGTGTGTTTCAGAAACCTAAATGAGATAATGTGATTACCCCTGCAGGTGTGTTTTTCGGAAACCTATATAAGCCTTTTTAGAGATAATAAAAGGGGGGATTCATGATAAATGAGGGGGCTCTCTGCATCTTCATTTAATCCTCGTCCCTTCTCTTGGCGGAACTGTTTCGATATATCGGGGCAGGACCTCGATATCACGGCAGTTTTGAGATAGGGCTTTGTAATATCCCAAACAGGGAACACAAAAAAAGGACTAATCAGAGGACGCTGTTGTTGTTGAGGACTATCGAGCTGGAACTGATCCATAGGTGACTCTTCAGTGAGTTTTCAGAGGCAGTCAATTTTATGAGAGGAGACTGCTCACCTTTCTCCCAATGGAGCATTTGGTGAATCAGTTTATTTTCAACAGGGTGGTGCACAGTGGTGATGGGAATTGAGGCTCTTCATAACTGGAAAGGGGCGAAGAGAGACTATGATACTGCATCAACGTTATTAAATGTTGCTGAGGCCCAGGATAGGTGAGCTTTAAAGCAGGAGGGATAATAAGTGTGTCAAGGCAAGATGGATGCTTCAGACGGGATGACAGAGTGCAGACAGCCACAGTGGGACACAGCAAGTGGTCCCTGCCATTATTTTCCATTGGAAAATTCCAGGCACCACACTGCTGATGTTGGAGTCTTGAGACCAGCTAAACAACACTTCCCATGCATGCACACTGAATTCCAGAGACAAAGTATTCAGTATTCCTGAATCAGTACTGAAAAGAAAAAACAAAACAGAACAACATAAAACCTAAATATAAGGCTGCCCTCTAGTGGTCCTTAAGCAAAGTGCACTGCCACTGACCCTGTTAGGCGCTCCTCTGTGGGGTGCCCAGGACTGAGTCTTTGCAGCCTGGGCTGCAGCATCCCTGTCCAGCTTGTGGGCATTTCAGTTAGTAGCTGAGCATATGGCCCTTGCACCACGAGTGTATCCAGACAGTAACACTTCCCACAGAAACAAGAATACAAAAGGTGAGGGGGCGGGGAGGGAATGGGCCAGTTACACAAAGAAATAGTGAAGCACAAAACATCACAAGAAAAGAAGAACAATTCAAAACAAAGACTAGCAAATGTCTCCTGTAGAGGCCAGAAAAGTGTGAAGAATTAATGATTTTCAGATTTTGGGTTGAAGTATGTATGAGGGGGGAAAAAAGCTAAGGACATCAGCAAACAAATGGAGAAAAAAAATATGAAAAACCCAACATGGAAATTGAAAACATCAACCCAAAATATCATAACAAATATCATGAAGGATTGAGCTGTGGGACCTAGCCAAAGGATCAGAGTTTCCGGGCACAGCAAGGTCAATTTACACTGCATAGCTCACAAAGGTGGTGCAGATTTTTGTTTTCTTAATGTGAGATGTAACCCATATTGAAAGCTTTAGTCCTTGATTTCAAGACTCCCTCAATGCTCTGCAAACTCTTATGATGGTGAGTAATGACAGAGGTCTTAAAAGCTTATGGGTGGTCAATGTTCGTAACAGTGTTATTATCACAAGAACATGGAAACAGCCTGAATGTCCAACCACAATCTAATGGCTTGAGAAACTATGGTATATTCATATGCAGCCCTCAGGAGCAATGATTAAAAAAAAAAAGACTATATAACTTAGAAGAGACTGGAAAGCATTATGTTGAATGAACTTTCTAAGTCTCAAAGACAAATATGGCATAAGACCATTATTGTAAAAATAGAAGGATAACTAGTAAAATATGTCTGAGGATCTAAGGGGGGAAGGGGTGAGAGCAAAGAGGTGAGAGTGGACTGGGGGTGGAGGTAGTAAAGAAAACTGGAAAGATCTGGTGGATATCTGAAAAGATGAGATAATAGTAGGCATAATTCAATGGGGATTAATTTTATAAAACAGAATATGAATGAAGGAAAGTGTGAAACACAATGTATACAAATTTGGTGTGCAAATAAACATAAAATAAAATTTAAAAAATCTTATGTGTGGTGATTGATGGTGCTTTTTTTGGTCACCCCATCCCAGCTCCCATTTGAAGCAAAGAAGAGTGTGTGTGTGTGGTGGGGGGGGGGGGAAGACATGTGCAAATAGTTAGTCCACAGGACTACTAATCCTCTTCCTCCTCCATTCCCAAACCAGAAAAACTAGATGGTTCCCAATCCTAGTGACAACTTCCCTAAAAAGGATCACAATGGGAGATCCTAGTAGAAAAAAGACTGTGTAAAAAACCAAAAATAGTGGAAAAAACAAACTACACTGACTGACTCATCTTACAGAGAGAGTTATGTAAGCTCTGAAAGTCTGACTTTTAGATACTTATGGTCTGGAACTGAACTCTCCTCCACAGCTCAACTTCCAGCCAAACACCAGAGAAGCTTGTACAGTGAACAGTTAACTCTGTGGAGGTCTGCGCATAACAGTAATAAACCACATGAAATCAGAAGGGCAGCATGTGTCCAAGGAAAAAGGTAAGAAGAGAGTGAGGGATAGGCAAGGAGTTCGTGGGAAACACAGTGAGAAAGAGGGAAGGGGGCTGTTACATTGTACCAGAAAACAATGGAATGACATCAATAAAATGATGCAAGAAAACAACTGACAGCACAGAATCCCTTGCATGTAAAGCTGACATTCCAGTGTGAAGGGGTATCAAGACATTTCCACTCTTACAGAAGCTCTGGGAATTTGCCACCACCCAACAATCTCTTCAAGTATTATTTCAGGGAATATGCCAAGTGGGAAAGCAAGAGAATAAAATAACTATTTGTTTCTATAAATGAGAGGGGGTAAAATTAAGAGTTTTGAGAGCAAAAGATCACACACAAAAATGCAATACTATGAGCAATCATATAGACCAAGTATGTGGTACTTCCATGGAACAAATTCAATAATTAATACCTAATACATCAAATTTGTGAGAAGTATAAAGTACACTTACAGAAGGACTAGAAATAAAGAGGTTCATGATATAATAGTAAGAGTGAACCAGCAAGAAGACATAACATTATGTAAGAACCTATGAGTCACTTCTGACTCTATGGTGATAAGTTGAGAAGCAGAAATGCATTAAAATATATGAACAAATCCCAATATTGAAGAAAGAGACAAGTGAACAATTATATTTACAGTAATATGACAATAATAAGACAATGAACAACTTACTAGTAATATTACAGAATAGTAGGAGACTTCAACATACCACTTTCCATTTTTTACAAACCATCTAAAGTGAAGATCATTAAGGCCAATGAAAATTTAAATAAAACTATAAGTGAATCAGACCTAACAGACATATTGATACTGATAATGACACCTCATCCAGTATCAGAAAGATAGACCTCCTTCTCCAGTGCACACGGATCATCTCCCAGGTGGTTTACAAGTCTCAACATTCAACAACAAAATCCATCTATGAAATTGTACAAAGCAGCTTTTCTGATCACAATGGAATGACATCATTGGTTAGTAGCGCTTCACACTGTGGACTGTGCTACTAGAGTTCCTTGTATAGATTCTGAAACTGCTACTAAGTCTGTTTCAACTCAAAGCGGCCCTCCACTGGGTCCTTGAAACCATAAATTACAATGGGAGGAGATTGCCCATCTCTGTCCTGCGAAACCACTAGACATAGGTGGTCTTTGAGTTAGAAGAACTATACACACACACACACACACACACACACACACACACACACACACACACACCCCTAGAGAGTGAGATCAGCTGGCCCAGTGGACAGAAAGCGATGCTACTAAGCCAAAGGTGGTTGACTTTTAATCTGCGGCCCTTGGGCCAGTCTTTCATTGTTTTTGTTCAGACATTCCTCTAGGTCGTATAGCCCTGGTATACAAGTTGCCATACAGTGGTCACTTGTGGTTGCTGTGAGGCTGAACATTGTGACACTGACGTGTTAAATGCGTTAATGGTTGGTTACCCAGTGCGGACAGAGAGTGGGATGGAGCTCCCTGATTAAAACAAGCTTGGAAGGAGGAGTGGCATCCACTTCCGTAATAGCTTGCCTCCAGAAACCCTATGAACCTGGAGAGAGGATGAAAGACACCCAAATGTTGAGGACTCTCCTTCCTAGGGTCGCTGTCAGTCACCTGCAACTCGACGGCACTGAACAACAACAACAACGTTCCATGTATATATCCTGTTATCGTGTACCTTTGAGTCTAAACCAATTCCTAAATGTCCTGTTGCTGTTGTCTACCATCAGGTCAGAACTGACTCAGAATGGGTTTTCAGAGGCAATTAATATCAGAGGAGAAGACTGCTTATATAATAAATATATAGCCTGTTGTTTTGTGCCATCGAATTGCCTGTGACTCATAGCAACCCTATGTACAACAGCCCTAAACCCTACTCTACCCTGAGCCAATCTGTCTCTGACACATGTACCCCTCATTACCCCAGGCACTGAATCAGTCCATCTCATCAAGGTTCTTGCTATCTTGCACTGTCTTTCCACCCTCCCAAGCATGATGTCCCTCTCCAAGGACTGGACCTAGAGACATATGCACATCTATGCTCTTTGCTACTTTATTCATAAGATAAAGAAATGGAAACAAAGTATTCATCAGAAGATAAGCAAATACACACACATATACATATATATGTATGTGTGTACATAAAAATTGAGACGATAAGGGGATAGGGAAACTAGAGTACTAGCAAAGGAACATACTGAACACAACTGAAGAGAATGCATCTAATGTCAGGGAATAATGTGTGTGAAAATGATCACACAGGAACCTAACTTGCTATGTACTCTTTCACCAAACACTTAATAAAATATTATCTAAAACATAAAACAGATATGAAATCTCTAAGACTTATAAAATATAACATATATATAAACTATTTCATGAAAGTTTTTATGTTGATAATAGGTTTGAAAAGTAAAGTGAGAGTATAAAATGAAATCTTCAGGCTGGAGATACAAGCCCATCCCTGGCTATGTGTAAGTTGGAATTGGTGGGTTTGTGGTGTGTGTTTTTGTTTTTCTCTCCCCTAAGTCCTCATCACCTCTACAAAGCCGGCCTCCAGGAGTCAGCACTTACTGTTGACAATAGCCGTAGGCAGAATCGAAGCCATGGCAGCTTGCTGGGGAAGCAGCTGAATGGAGTCCAGCAGGCGTGCTGGGTACATCCCCTCAGTGAGAGTCATCTGACTGGCAGCTTGTAGCCTTGAATCAAAATCCACCACAAAGGCAATTAGCTCTTCCCCTTCTGCGATGGCCTTCGTGGTGGTGCACCAAAGCTGACCCCCTGTTAAGAAGAAAAAAAGAAAGAGAATGAGTTGACAAGGCCTGCTGCACTCTGGATAGATGTCAACAGCATCTTCTCATGTTTTTCTCATCAGTTTCTGGGGTGTAAGATTTGATCAAGACAACGACTACTCTACCCTCCTTCATGGAAAAGCATATTATGTGCATTAGATGAACAGTTCAGTGATCAGTAGCAGAATTCTTTTCCTTTCATCAGCTGCTGGGAAATGGGTTTTAAATCATAGGAACCTTAGATGACAGACTAGAACTCCATGTAGTTTTTGCAGGCTGCAGTCTTTATACAAGCAGATCACCAAGTCCTTTTCCTGTGGAGCTGCAGGTGAGTCTGAAATAGCTTCTCTCTGTTTAGCACTGTGCCACCATAGGAGATGGCAACCTGGAAACAGGTAGGCCCCAAGTCATAACACATTTGAGTTATATAAACTGCACTCAACCAGTGGGTTATTGGGGGTTTTTTTCATGGTGGTTGTTGTTGATTGCCATCAAGTCAAACATGACTCATTGCGACCCTATGAACAAAAGGCCTGAAGTCTTTCAATGACTCATCATTTCTCAAAGTTCATAGAGTTTCCAGAGGTATGTTGTTTAGGAAGTAGATGCAATATGAACTCCATACAATGTACCAGTATACATTTTGCTATTTTACTCAATGTTCACTTGTAGATGTTTAATTTATATTCAAAGCAAGGTTTTATATATTTATGACACAGGACTGTTGTGATTTTTTTGTGCACCATAGAATCATAACTGACCCATAGCTGACCCTCCAGTGGGTTTTCGGAGGCAGTTAACCACATGTGCGGAGATTGCCTCTTCTTATCCTTTGGAGCAACTGGTGGCCTCAAACTCTGTGCCTTTGGGATTATAGCACAGCTTTTTGCCATTAGGCCACCAGGGCTCTATATATGATTTGGCTTGATCTACAATGAAGTAGATGTTGGTATTGGAATCATAATGGATAGAAAGTTGGGCAATGTTCAACTCTGATGATGTAGGACAACTGAACTGTTCATGTCCCAAAATTTCAGTGATAATGACACTGATACCAACTTCATTTTACATCAGGCCTATAATGTGATCAACCACTCACTCATCTACTCACTGCCCCCGTATCAGAACTGACTCATAGATGTGTTTTCAGTGGCTGTAAATTGCAGGGAAGATTACTCATCATCCTCCCACGAAGCCAATAATAGATTTAAACTTAATATATATGGTTTGGTAGTACAACTCTATTCCCACTAGGCCACATAACTTTCCAACATTTTCTATCATAAGAAATAAAAAAACCAAACAAACACAAATCCACTGCCATCAAGTCAGTTCTAATGCACAGTGACCCTCCATTGGATCTGAAGTTGTAACTTGATGGGAGAAGACTGTTCATCTTCTTCTTGTGGAGTATGTAGTGGATTTGAACTGCTGAACTTCAAGTTACCAGTCCAATATATTACCCACTATGCCACCAGGACTTCTTGTAGAGTGTGAAGCATCAATTAATTGAAAGGCAATTTATTAAGTTTCTTTAACTGTAACATTTACACACTTTTTATATTGAGATTGTTCACAGCTTTAGTCTGCTTGGTTCCACAGTCAACACTCTTGGCACCAGAAGCCAAGAAATTAAAAGACATATTGAGATGGGAAAGTCTGCTGTTAGGGACGTCTCTAAAGTACTGAAGAGCAGTGGTGTCTCTCTGGAGACTAAGGTGCTTCTGGTACAGGTCATGGTCTTTGCAATCACTTGTTATGCGTCAGAGAGCTGGATAATGACCAGGGAGGATAGAAGAATTGATGCTTTTGAGCTTTGGTGTTGAAGAAGAGTGTTGAGGGTACCATGGACTGCTAGGCAAACAAACAGATTCATCCTGGAGAGGGTTAAACTGGGCAGCTCCTTGGAGGCAAGGATTCTGAGGCTTCGTTTGACATACTTTGGTCATGTTGTAAGGAGAGATTGGTCCTTGTAGAAGGTCATCAGGCTTGGGAGGGTGGAGGGCAGGCACAGAGGGGAAGGACCTCTGGGAGGTGGACTGATTCGGTGACTGGGGTAATCGGGAGGAGTGTGTAGGAGACGAGATTGGCACAGGACAGAGCAGAGTTTAGGGCTGTGGTACATAGGATCGCTATGAGTCACAAGCCACTCAATGACACACAACAATAACAACAAAAACAACAACAACATATCTCCAACACTATATATAGCAAAACCAGTCATGACACTTTGTGTATTTACAAAGTTATGGATTATAAAGGTCAATACCAAACAAAATGGGGACAATTTATCTCACGTCAGAATCAACTTATAATGGAGTCATTAGAAAATAATCCCATTGTAAGCTGGTGACTACCTTTATAAGACACAGTCTGCGATAGTTCTGTTAACCAATAACCATTGCATTATATTCATAAAAATGTCCATGACCACTCATTGTAGGGTTACAATCACAGATTTACTTTAAATGAACCTTTGCAATAATTCTTTTAGAAATTTTATGAAAGGTGCACTTTTCTTTTCTGTCCTGCCTCTCTTGTTCTGTCTTCCCTCTCTCCATTTTTCTTCCTTCCTAAAATATTATTATTTGATAAGTAACAACAAAACAAGGCAAAATTCCAACAGTCTATAAAGCTAAAGTGAAATTCTAGGTAGTTCCACTCTCTATATCTGCTAGCTTTATTTTTTGAAGGGTCAGAGCATTGATCTTTCCTTATATTTGATATTCTTTATAATGTAGCTTCTTTGTTCCTATTTGCCCTGCCTGGTTAAACTTCCTGAAAAGAAGATATGCCAAAGATTCTCTCCCAAAAGTCTTATTTAAATAAAGATTTGTTTAAGTGGGGCAGGAAAAATCCCCACTACAAACCCTTTCTTCAAACACTAAGATACACTTTAGCTCTATACTTTAAATGATCAAGAGTGCTGTATTTAAAAGAAAATTAACTATGCAAGTATGTCTTCTAATGTATTGGAATGCGATAGCGAATGCTCATTTATTTAGCATGTTTAGACAGGCAAAGCACTTATATTTCGTTATCTACACTCTCAGCCTAGATATGTATCCTATACCATCATGGCTGAAATAATGTGGCATAGTTGATATGTTATAAAACCTCCCGCCCCCCTTGTGTATATATTGCAAGGCTGTATGATGTACTCATTAAACAAGCAAAAATTGTACCCATTCTGATAAGTCATATTGCTGTTTATCTTTCAGCCTGTCTTTTCAACTGCATTTCATTGTTTTCCACTCACAGAGATTAGAGTTTTAAAACAACTTGTGTTAAAAAAAATCTGGTGGAAGAGATAACAAGGGTACATGATATAGTACAGTTACACAGAAGAACTAGGACATTGTTTTAGAGAAACTTTGGACAATTAATTAAACTAGCTGATTAGTCTTAAAGGTAAGCCCACAAACAATCCTGGTGTGGACAAGTGCTTATGGAAAAATGAAGCTGAGATTACGGACTTCAAGGTTATTCGGACGTTTCAAAGTGAAAATACAAAATATACAAAAATACTAGAAAATAAATGGATTTTCCTCCTACTGCAATATCTCAGATACTACTTCTATCACAGTGACTAAGAGTTTACTGAAGTTGAATAGAACAGATTCACTTAGACGTTAATTCTTTACAAAGATTATAAGTGAAACTACATGACAGTGGAATCAGATGAGAAATGCCAAGTGCTAAGTGGTTGTATTTCTCCAGGTGACAATTTTCCCCCTGAAAGGTTTCTGCATTTGGTGGTTATGCCTTCTCTGATGCGCAGAGAGATCCGGAGTCCTTACAGCTGTAGACAAGGTAATCATGTGCACCTTATCTTTCCTTTGGGATGCAGTTTATTAAGTGAGGCTGTGTAATAAGGAGGAGGGGAGGGGCACAGCAAGGAGGCACAATTCCGCTTGGCTTCATAGTCTGGTCTTTCCCAGGCACGTGTTAAAGCGTTGAGTTCTACTACTGGTAAAGCCAGCCCTGGGCCTTGTTCACAAAAGTAGGACAAAGTTTGGAAACGGATACCCAGAATAAATTCGAGGGCTAGCACCCACTCACAGTGCATCTGAACTATGTAGCAGGATGACTCAGAACACTGCTCTTCAAATTTAAACCAAAGATTAATGAAGTAACAGCCTCATAAGGACAAGTACTGCATAAGAGCATTATTGTAAAAAGAGAAGGATAACTAGAAAGATGTGTATAAATGTCCAAAAGGGGAAGGGGGAAGAGAAAATGGGGCAGAAAAAGAAAAGGGGTGGAAATCACTGGGACCACAGAGTTTAGGGGGACACTGGGGACTGAAGGAATAGGAAAGATGCAATAGGGCTCAAAAAAGATGGGGTAATAATAAGCATAGACCAACAGTAATTGTTTTCCTAAAAGACCATGTACATGAATAATTGTATGAACCATAATGTAAAGATTGTATAAAACATAATGTACGTGAATGAAACACAATGCACACAAATGATGGCATCCAAACCAATAAAAAAAAATCAATCATTTGCCAAAAGATGAATTGCAGTGCAAAGATTTTTTCCTACATTATTAAATATGTTGACACTTTTAATATGTATCTATATATGTCTGTTCTTCAGATGCAATCATCAGTATTTCGTCTTTTGCATTTGTATCATTTTAGCACATCTTATGCTTTCGCCAGCACTTATCATGTTACAAGTCTACACCTGACTGAAAGTTTATTGTGTAGGTAAGATGAGGAAGTCTGTTTTGTTAGTTAGGATTTAATCTTTCAAATCATTCACTCATCAGCTATTCATTGAAATGGCTGCTGATTGCTAGGCTGGGTACTATGGCTTCACAGAAAGAAGCAGCAGAAGACCGCTGAGTCTACACCAAAACACGTAACAACAGCACAGAATGGGAGTCATCTTGAAACAAAATGTTGTGGGAGGAGTGGGTAACTGAGCCTTTCGTAATTCATGCACTCATTCACTCATTGCCATTCGGTTGGAACAGACT